TTTATTCTTATCTTGTATCTAACCTCAGAGGAAGTGATTTTAGTATTTAATGTTCATTTTGGGTTTTGTTTAAGTAACCAGTGTTAGATTCTGTGCCTATCAGAGTGTGAAGCATAGATTACACACTCAAATACCTATTGACATCATTATTGATAAATATACTGATATATTAGACTTGTATCAGTGCTGATTCAGCCATGATTTAACTTTTTGTTACAGTGAAAGTGTCCAGTACAGTATGTTCCAAAATGCTTACACACACACACACACACAATAAAGATCATTCATTTAAGTAATTCTTTGACAATGTTCTTATATATTATTCAAGCCTTTATATTTTATTGTCCTTTAAAAAATAAATGACTAATATCTTAGAGATATATACTAGCATATATATATATATATATATATATCTTCACTGTAATACTAATTATCACACATTTTAGATATTCTGGTAAGGCATATAAGAAGTATTAAATTATCTTTATGATTTTTAAAACAGCATCTAGTGAAAGTTCAATGATCATCTAATATTTTCTCTCAGATACATATTGTGGTTTTAAGTTTCATATTTACAACTAAATTATTTTAAAGTTATTTAAATACATATGCTTGTTCTACAAAGGAGTTAAATAAATTATTTAAATAAATTTTCCAGAACACCTTAAGTTTTTTAAATTAAATTAAAATTCCATATTTTTTATAATTATTGAAAACATCCTGCCAAATCCTCTATGATTTACTTGGGAAGAAAGCATTCCCACATGGGTAAGTATAAATAGCAGAAGTAATTTAGATTCAATATAATTTCATGGTTAATTTGAAGCAATATACATTTTTTAAATTACAACATAACATGCCTAGAGTTTGAATTGTGTGGGTTTTTTTTTATTTTATTTTAAGCACCATGAAATTTGCAACTTTTGTTGATCCTTCTAAAGCTCCTATGCATTGACTAGCATGTACTCTTATCTCCATCTTGCAAAAAAGATCAAGTGTCTGGCCAATCATAATTTCAATTTTTAGAGATGATTTTGAGGCTTGAATACAGGTCTTTGATTATTACTTCTGGTAAAATACTGCTGGAGAGGGAGAGTGAAGACACATGCCAAGCGAAGCAATAGTCTCAAATCAAACATTCTTGTAAAAATGAATTTTACAGTGCTAGATGCCTCCAAGAAAGTGGCCCCATTGGGCTTTTCTGTGCAAACAATATCGTAGGCAGTTGCTGCCATTTCTTCCTGATAAAGCTTTGTGTACAGTTGGCCTCTTGCTTGGGAAGATAAATGAGCTCACTTCAGGGTTGGGTCTATAAGCAGATGATTGAATTTCAGGGAGGTGTTTATATGCATTCAAGAGGAGTATTTCTGTCACTGCATTTCTGCATGGGAGGTCACAAAGGGAGTGGATGGATGGAAACAGAAAGGAAGATTGTTTATTGGGAGGAAATGAAAGGGATTAGTTTCTGTGGAGGCCAGGCAGGTGACCTAGATTCACAACACCAGGATGTGTACTCTGATGGATACTTTTTAAAAGAGAGAAAGAAATCTTGGATATAGGGCCTGGCTTAATTTCTAGCCAATTCACATCGAGTCTCTTTGAAGGGTTTTTCTAATCCCAGGAGAAGCTTTTATTTGACATATTTTCATGTGCTGGGTTTATCTAGGTCTCAGATAATCACACAGTGAAGTTCTCATATGGATTACTCAGCATGATCCTGGACTCAGCAGGCTCTTTTTGGGGGCCTTTGAGTTGAAATGAGCAAAAATGAAATCTGAAAGACTTACATGTGATCCTCGGGTCACAGAGCCCTTTCCAAAGTAACTACTCATATTTCCCTATGAAATTGAAAAACAACCCTATGCATCTCCAAAAAATGTTGCAAGCAATTCCACAAGATTTCTCTTTTGTAAGAGGAAGATCAGTGAGAATATAAAGGGCAGTGTAATAAAAAATAGAGAGACTGTGTGGTTGCCTGTACACTGAATGGTTTTAGGATGGCTGAGAGTGGCTAAAAACACACTAGATTTACCTCCTTGCAAGTTGTATTTCCCACAATTTCAGCTTCTTAGAGCACAATTGTAAGGAATAAATGTCCTTGAAGGTAAGCTATATGTCCTGTACATTTTTAGATCTTCACATCCTACTGCATATATGTGTATCTTCCATTATGATTCTTCTAGAGGCCTGGTGCACAAAATTCGTGCATTGGGGCGCAGGGTGTCCCTCAGCCCAGCCTGCACCCTCTCCAATCTGGGACCCCTCAGGGGATGTCCGACTGCTGGTTTAGGCCTGATCCCAGGGATCGGACCTAAACCAGCAGTCAGACATCCCTCTCAGAATCCGGGACTGCTGGCTCCCAACCGCTTGCCTGCCTTCCTGCCTGATTGCCCCTAACCGCTTCTGCCTGCCAGCCAGATCACCCCCTAATCACTCCCCTGCCAACTTGATTGACCCCTAACTGCTCCCCTGCTGGCCCAATCACCCCCAACTGCCCTCCCCTGTTGGCCCAGTCACCCCTAACTACATGCCGGCCCGGTCACCCCTTACTACCCTTCCCTGCAGGCCTGGTCCCCCCCACCAACTGCCCTCCCCTGCTGGCCTGATTGTCCACAACTGCCCTCCCTTGCTGGCCATCTTGTGGTTGTGGGCACTGCCATCTTTGAGAGTGAGGCAGTTAATTAGCATATTCCCTCCTTATTGGCTGTGGGCACTGCCATCTTTGAGGGCAGAGCAGTCAATTAGCATATTCCCTCCTTATTGGTTGTGGGTGCCACCATCTTTGAGGGTGTGGCAGTCAATTAGCATAGTCCCTACTTACTGGCTGTGGGCCCCACCATCTTTGTGACAGTGTGAGGGTCAATTAGCATACCCCCTCTTTATTAGATAGGCTAAGTTCCTTGAGAGTGGAGACCATGATACTGTGTGTGTGTGTATGTGTGTGTGTGTGTGTATTTATTTGTGTCTCACTACTTGCTAAATCAAAAGGTTGTGAAAATAATAATTTATGTATTTGCATTTCAAAATCAATAGTAAAAATAATTATTGAATTGTGTCAAAATTCAATGCTGTTCTAAATATTTTTGTGGTGATTCAGTTTGCTATTTACTTATACTATAATTGGTGAATAAAATAATACAGAAATTGTAGGCTGATTCTATGAGTTTGTGAGTTCAAGACTGAGAAGTTTCAACCATGTTTCACAAATGATGATATACTCACTGTAGGTATTTGAACAGGCTGGAATATATAGGATGGGATTGGCATGAATGAGGAAATAAATGGATTAATAAAGTAAGATTCTCAGCTCTCACCCCAGAGCTTCAGACAGAGTATATTCATTGTTTTCACTGAAATGATACACAGATATGGCAAAGTACAGAAGCAAATACATTGATTTTTTTGTAGCTTTCATGTACAAGTCTTCACCTCAGTCATTGTAAATGGAATCATTTTCTTAATTTTATTTTATGTTCATTCCTATTGTTTCGATATTGTTTAGATTTTTGTGCATTGACTTTGTAGCCTGAAACTTTGCTAAATGTTTTTAGAAGTTCTATTGTGTGTGTGTGTGTGTGTGTGTGTGTGTGTGAGAGAGAGAGAGAGAGAGAGAGAGAGAGATCTTATAATTTTAAAAATTGGAGTATTAAGCACATTCACAATACTCTGCAATCATCACCATTATCCATTTCCAGAACTTTTTCATCTTCCCAAACAGGAATCTTGTACTCCTTAAACAATAACTTCCCATTCACCCCTATCACCAGGCCCTGAATTCTTTAGAAACCATGAGGTTTCTACATGTAAGATCATGTTATCTGCTAATAGAAAATGGATGCATTTTATTTATTTTTCTTGCCATATTCGTCTAGCTAAAACTTCTAGTACTATGTTAAATAACAATGGTTAAAGCAGTTTTGTTCCTGATCTTTGGGAAAAGCTTTTAGACTTTCACACTCAGTTTAATGTCAGCATACAAACTTATGGTGCATGCATTTATTCCATTAACTGGTTCTCTAGGGAACATCACCAGGGTACCTCAGATCATGAGATTTTCCTGAAAAAGGAGAAATATACTTTATTTTACTTTAAGCAGGAAGTCCCTTTCTTATATTTTATGGGTTGTATCCTTATCACTGTATGTACTCTACTTGACTGGAGTATCTGAATCTTTTACTTAGTAACCCATTTTTTTCTTTTTAAATTGAATTCATTGGAGTGACACTGGTTAAAAAATTATAAAGGTTTCGGGTGCACAATTTTACAATACATCATCTGTACACTGCATTGTATGTTCACCATCCCAAGTCAATCACCATTTATCCCCCTTATACTCTCCTCTACCTCCCTCCACTCCCTCCTCCTCAGCAATCACCGCACTGTTGTTCATGTCCATGAATTTTTTACCTTTTTTTTTTCTTTTTGGCTCAATCTTTGTACCACCCCTCCCAACTACCCTCTACAGCCGTCAACCTGCTCACTATGTATAAATCTGTCTTTATTTTGCTTGTTAGTTCATTTTGCTCATTAAATTCCACATATGAGTGAAATGTATGGCACTTGTCTTTCTCTGACTGGTTTATTTCACTTAGCATAATGCTCTCCAGGTCCATCCATGCTGTCACAAAGGGTAAGATTTCCTTCTTCATGGCTGAGTAGTATTCCATTCTGTTAATCACAGCTTTTATCACAGCTTTTAAAGCAGTATGGAGTTTCCTCAAAAAAATTAAAAATGGAACTATCTTATGACCCACAATTCCACTTCTGGTAATTTATATGAAGAAACTTGAAACATTAATTCAAAAGAATATACACACCCCTATGTTCATTGCTGCATTATTTATAATAGCCAAGATTTGGAACCAGCTCAAGTGTTCATCAGGAGATTAGTAACCTATTTAGAAAGTTCTTTTTTCTTCTTAAGTCTAAAAACTGAATATGTCTTTTCTGTTAACTATATTTCAATACAAACTTCGTCTTTTGTTTTGTTTTGTTTTCAGAAGATGCTTATAAGACCCAGGTTAGGATTGACAATGAGCCAGCTTATTTGGACATCTTGGACACTGCTGGTCAGGTAGGTAATCTTCTTAGATCTCTCCAATCTCTGAGGCCAGTTTAAGCTTTAAGCTCAAATGCATTTACCACAAAGGAGATGAGCTTAATTATTTAGACAAAAACAAATGTTCAACAGCAATGAGGAATTAAATAAGAAAAAAATATTACAGGAAAATGTGACTCATTGGCAACCAGAATATTTCAAGATTCCCTTAATTTTCTCAATATAAGAATATAAGAGTAGATGTAATATTGCTAGTGAGATTATAAAGTAGTTTATTATTCTTCCTCAGATGTGCTCAGAACTATGTCTGAGACCCTAATCTTATGATAGCTTTTATTAGAGAATTTTAATTGAATATAAAGAAGGATGGTCTAGCAAATATACTCACGCAACCAAGGCTAGGCAGACAGTTCAATGGAATAAGTAACATAACCAAGATTTAGCATAATCTGACACATTATTTTAAAAATCTATAAATAGAAACAAGGAGAAAGAGAACTATGAGGAAAAGGAAGAGACAATAATTGGTATGATATAAAAATAAAGATAGAACTAAAATACTACACAGCAGTTATAAATGAAATATGAGAAAGGAATCAGAATTAAAGTATTTCAAAGCCTTGTAGTATTTTGGAGGAGAATAGACATTTTTTTTTAACTTCATAATTTTAAAATAATTAATATATCTATTAAATGACAGACAGAAAAAATAGCTCTCTACTTTGTTATAAACCTAAAACTGCTCCAAAAATGAAGTATGAAAAATATAACCTAAAAACTAGCAGATGGAAAGGGGAAGAATAAATTCTAAAGTTATGCATATAATCTAAGGTTGAAAAGAAAGAAAAGAAACCAAAAAGCATAGTACAATAAATAAATATAAATATATCAGGAACCAAAATAAATGGAAATGTATATACCTTTAGACAAGTAAATTGGTAGCATCATTTTGAATAAAAATAACAATACTAACCTCTTGTACTTGTTTGGTTTATAAGAGACATAAGGGTACAGAAAAGCGGCAAATGAAAAAAAGATTATTTTAAAAAGTAGGCAAAAATAACCAAACCTAAAGCAGATATACCTCTATTAATATCAGACAAAATAAATTTTATTGAAGAAAGCATTATTAAGATGTAAAAGTGTTGATTTGTAATAAAAATCATCAAACTATTTAAAAACATCTAGTCTGTAATATAAGACAAATGGAGTGAGCTATATAAAATAATATATAATTCCAAAGTCATGTATAGTGGGAAATTTTAAGTTCCTCTGTCAGTAATGCTAGATAAAAAAATAATATAGTTGTAGAAGATTTGAAAACCCATTTAATTTATACAGAATTCTGCAATCAATATGAGGGTAGGCATTATTTTCACGCACATATGTGGTTTTACTTTTTTATTTATTTCTAATCTAAGCAAAGAATATGGTCTGTAGAAGATTGATTATATGATATATGTAGAATTTTACTTTGACTTAGAGTGTGATAAATTTTTGTAATATGTTTAAGCTAGTGGTTACCTCTTGAGGAGAAAGGGAAGAATCAGGAAAGGGAAGAGGTACAAAGTAGACTTCAACTATACATGTAATGATTTATGTTTCCCCAAGTTCTGATTAAACAAAACCTAGGTCATAGGTACAGAGATCTTCACTGTAATATTTTCCTTTGTACTTAACTTATATTTAAAAAATATTTTATTATTTCATCTGTTTGATGTAACTATCTAAAAAATAACTGCATTAATTGGAATATTGATACTGTGTAAGTCACTGGAAATAGGTGGTCTCTTTCTATATTTATGAAATATATCCAGACTATTGAAACGCATATATGAAAAAACACATTTGGATAATGGACTATTGGGGGATGTAATCTCTTGAAGCCTTAGAGAGATTTAGAATAGGAACATTTCTATTGGCTCATGGAAAAATTAACTAGACTCTCAATTGTATAAAAATCTAAAGAGATACAAAGGACCATCACAATGTCCTTACTAATTCAATGCATGTGAAATGCAACTATGTGAGATTAAATGTCTACATATCTGTGTGTATGTATGCATCTCACATTTTCAATATGATTAATTGGTCATCCATAGGGTTACAACACTGGATGAACTGCTCAATAGTGAGACAGAAAATTAAATCACTGTAGTCCCCGGCCTTGAAGAGTTACACTTTTATTTTTTCACATGTTTAAGAAAGAATCAACTTAAAACTGAAGAAAGAGACATCAAATTTTTGTGCTGTGCCTTTAATCATATCACCTCTAACTTGCTCTTATAAACAGTGAGTGCTCCTTATCCAACCATGTTTTAAGCATCTAATTACTCACCAGTGTGATATGTAAAACATTAGGATTTATATTTATCATTTATATTTTTAACTGAACTTGGCAATTTCAAAACTAAAACTGCCAAATTTAAAAAGTATATAAATTTGATGTACTCATTGCATAAATATACTAAGTAAAATGACTACCAAGACTCTCTAAAGTATACTTTTATACAAAGATATGAGAAACACAATGTCATTCAATGACCTCATCATTCGAAGCATTTTCCTCAGTGTTACATTTTTGTGGTGGACAATGCAGAGCTTTTCATCCTATAATTACTACTGGGCCACTGTGCAAACAGGACTTTTATGAAGAATGGTCTTTAGTAGAAACTCTGACATCAGTTCATAATTATTTCTACTTAATATCCATGTAAATGACTATTGCTGTGAATATTTAATATAGATGGGGCTTAGAGATGAAATATTTTAGTTCCTTTGTTTACAAATAAAGATACTGGAGCTCAGAAGAGGCAAGTGGCTTATCCAAGATCACATGGCTTCTAAATGCTAACACTGGAGGGATTCAGGTACTATCTTTGCTCATGAGTCATTCCTGAAAGCCTACAGTGATGTGGCTCCATGACCACTCAAAGCCATCACTGTAAATAGTACTGGACTATTCATGACTAGTAATGCTTGCTACTTGTGTATTACTTTTTTGACAATGTCAATGACATTTTTATTAAAAGTGTCTTAGTTGAAAACTACCAGTACAGAAAACTGGCAAGAACAATGGCTTAAAAACTCAAGATGGTAAAATCAAGGAAGAATCTGAAGGGAAAAAAATGCCATCAGTACCAGACTTTATTTATAACCATCTTTTTCCATTCTTTACATCTTTTACAATGTTTTACACAAAATATTTATCTTCCCTAATTCTAAGTGTAAAGGGTATTTCTTTGCAGATTTTCCTTGAGTTACACCATCAGAATATTGGTCCATTAGGAAAAGATATAGATGATATAAATATATAGCAATATTGCATCTGTTTGGCATCTATGTGAATGATAAAATTATTAAGAACAATAGGGACAATACATACCACTTTCTATAACTCTTATACAGCTATATCATGAAGAAGAGGCCCAGTTAAGAATACGTACTCAATAAATGTGAATGAAACATTTGGGCATATGACCTGTATTTTTCCTATATCTGACATAAAAGGGATGTGTAGAAATAAACAAAATACTTATTGTCTCTGTGATCCAATTTCTTTCCACTTTTTAAAAATAAAGAGTTTAGACTAAATGTTATTTAAAACACTTTGTGCTCTATCTTTCTATCATTCTCAAAACTATTTCATTTATTCAACAGGAACTATTATGTTTGGACAGTCATTATGCTTTCTCAACAATGCTAGTCACTATGATAGACTCAAACAAATCTGAAAAATGTTCCCTGCCTTTAAGAAATTTGCACTTTAGCAGTGGAGGCAAGGTTTACCTAGTTTGTTAAGAGAAAATGTCACTTCTGTATAAAGGCAGCTTTCAATTAAGTTAAAGAAAAAACAACTGATTTTGCTCTGGCAAATGATAACCGGAAAAGAATAATGCAGGATGGCTTCTTCCAACAGAGCTTTAATTAGACTGAGAAGATGAATGTATACACATCACTTCAAATTATTTTTCTGTTAAAAGAAAAAACAAATGGGTAAAATGCCTATCATCTTACATTATAGGAATAGGACATTTTGATGATATAACCAAAAGCATTACAAACATTTTTCTTTGATTTCTCTTTTTCCTTCCTTTAGGAATATAGTAATACTAGAGGCCCGGTGCACAAAAACTTGTGCACTCGGGGGTGGGGGGGTCCCTCAGCCTGACTAGTGCCCTCTCACAGTCTGGGACCCCTCGGGAGATGATCACCTGCTGGATGAGGCCTGCTCCCCAGGGGATTGGGCCTAAGCTGGCAGTCAGACATCTCTCTGGCAGCCCGGCAGCCCTCGGGGGGTGTCCACTTACCAGTGGGGAGCAGACCTAAGCTGCAGTCAGACACCCTTAGCGCTGCTGAGGAGGCAGGAGAGGCTCCCACCACCACCGCTATACTGGCAGCCGTCAGCCTTGCTTGTGGCTGAACAGAGCTCCCCCATGTGGCAGTGCACTGACCACCAGAGGGCAGCTCCTGCATTGAGTGTCTGTCCCCTGGTGGTCAGTGTGTGTCATAGTGACCAGTCATTCCCAGTCTTTCTACTGTTAGGGTCAGTTTGCGTATTACCCTTTTACTATATAGGATAGAGGCCTGATGCATGGATGGGGGCCGGCTGGTTTGTCCTGAAGGGTGTCCTGGATCAGGGTGGGGGTCCCGCTGGGGTGCCTGGCCAGCCTGGGTGAGGGGCTGATGGCTGTTTGCAGCTGGTCACACCCCCTTCAGGGTGGGGGTTCCCACTGGGGTGCTAGGCCAGCCTGTATGAGGGGCTGATGGCTGTTTTCAGGCTGGCCACACCCCCTTTAGGGTGGGGGTCCCCACTGGGATGCCTGGCCAGTCTGGGTTAGGGGCTGATGGCCATTTTCAGGCTGGCCAACAACTGAAGCTCCCAGCCTCTCTCTTTTTTTTTTATTCTGAGATTTATTTACCTTCTATAATTGAAACATTGTTGCCGTCACTGACGCTTCCAGCTCTGAGGCCGCGGCCAGCTGAAAGCAGGTATCTCGGGTTTGTTTAGCTTC